TTCTTTTCTTCTTGTAGTCTCCTTTCCAAGGAGGAGAAATTCACAAAACTTACCTCAAGCATTGAGAGATTTAGTATAAGAATGCACACAGAAACAAGGAAAATATAGGTAGAGCTCGTGGAAGCTAAGAAAGTTTGAGCAACTGGACCTCCTCTTGTCTTGCATTGTTAGTCAAAACTTCATAAAAGATCATTTTTAGCATAATCATACATAGTGTATTCTCTTTTCTATGATTTTCAGACTCTTTAAGATAATGTCATTGCTATCAACTGCCAACTATAGGTGGATAGATACGGATAGATAGATAGATAGATAGATAGATAGATAGATAGATAGATAGATAGATAGTCAGACAGATAGATTCATAGATAGCCTTAGTTCAAGATCCACAAGAGAGAAAATCTGATTGACAGCTAACCACCATTATCTCTGCATGGTTGGCAGATTGCCTGCCTTTGAGCCTAGTCTAGTCTGATACCTGTAGCCAGAGGGACATGAGTATGAGATGTATGAAACTATCTAGGAGCGCTTCCTTAGCTGGTTGTGAAGTTGGGGAAAGAGCTTTGGGGTGGCAGGCACCATAACTGAGACTGTCCTGGCCATTATCTCAACTACATTTGTCATTACTAAATCTTATTTTAGCTATCTCCTCTGTTTGCTATGTCATAAGCACACGGAGGTCAAAGGTGGTTCTATCTTCCCTTCACTCTAATTCTGCCCTCTTCACCTCTTTCCATCCATATCTCAGAACTAAGAGTACAGTGCAGAGGTCTTGCTGACATCTAATAAGCATGAACTAATGAATCAAAAAAACCCACAGCCACCTGCTCCCTGGGTCTTAAGGGAAAATACAAGGCTTGAGCTGAATATGTGGTCATTCCCGTTCCTGTTAATTTCCCAAGCTCCTCTGTGGGTTGCGTTCTCTGCTCCATTGGGGTGACACAAACATGACAGATGGCACTCTCATGCCCAAGGAGTTTATTCTGCAACCCAGGAAGGGCTATATTTTTTGCTACAAAACCCTTATAAATCTTATAAATCACTCTTATGCAATTAGGGCACGAATATTGTGACACAAGAGAGATAAATGCTATTCCATACATGTAAACAGCAGAAATGTGTGGGTGGTAAGAGATAGATGCATATATATCAGTGAATCCTAAATATTAATTCTTTTGGAGATTTTGATATATGTATACAACGTTAATAAATAGAGTTTCTGCCTTTCTATAAAATGAAGATTTTAATCTGATGGAAGAATATATATATTTAAATTGAAGAATTAAAAATGTCATATATCAAACTCATTTTAATTTTAAATTTAAACTGTCATGATAATCTAAGGAAAATGACTATAACTATAAAGGGACTAAACAAGCATCTGTAGATTTATCAATAAATTGACAGGTTAGAAGAAAGCTACCAAGATAAATATGAGATAACCAAGAAAAAAATATCAGCATTAAAAATGCATCTAACAAAAGCTGGAAAGAAAACGATAAATAGGTATAGAAAACATCGAGAGCATGGTGCTTATCTTATTAGAAATTCAGTCTTCAGCATACTAGCTATGTGTAAATCTCTTATCTTTGAATAGTAGAGAAAAAATTGTAACCTCTTTTATTCTCCTTTATGTTATTTTTTTAAAGTTTTTCCTATTACAAATGATGCATATCCATCCTATGTGTAAAAGGTTAAAAGGCCAACTATAATCATCTTTAGTCCAGAAATATAATCATAATCTTTTTAAACTTAATAACATGTCATGAAGATCATTCAGTGAAATTATAAGTTCTTTTACAATTTTTTAAAGGTCCAAAACAAAACCAAAGATGTTGTCGAACTGAAATAAACCCTGGATCATCTAGTTTAGCCTTTTCAGCAATGCTTTAATAATCTCTTTAGATGACTGTGAGCCCTTTCTTGACCACTTCAGTCACTGGGAAATCAACAATTTGCCAGGAAATCCTTACATTTGCTTGCATGCTCTAATTATGAAAAGTCCTACCCTATTCTGAATTTTATTCACCTCCTTTAACTTCTCCCCAGAAGAGCACTGGGCTTGGAATGCATTTCAAGTTTTCCCATCCTTTAGTGGCATAGCCATAACTAAATCATGTTACTTTACTATACTTTCCTATACAGGCTTTATCTATAAAATCAGGCTAATATTTTTTGCCCCATATTCCTCATAGGATTGTTAAAAGATTCAAGTAAGAAAATACTTGTGAAAATGACAATACTTAAAGCAAATATGGATGATAAACATACTTCCTCTTTCACATATATTATTTGCAAATTGTTGTCATGTCTACCCCAAGTCCCTTATCCAAGACAAACTGCCCAAATCTCTTCGTCATCTCCTATAAATTATAATATCCAAAATCACTATCTTATGGACTCTTCTGGACACATGCTTATTTGCGAATGTCTCCTTTAAAAGGTGCCACACCGAGCTAAACAGGATGATCCTGATGTGGCCGAATGAGTGGAAAATGAAATAGGCTTGTTCTGCCATTACTATGCTTGGCAGTTTACTGTGGTGCCTTCTGAGATGCAGAGTTTTTCTTATTACCACCACCTATGTCATTTATCAAGAGCGACTTTAATTGCAGCATTTGAGAAAATGTCTTTGAAAAAAATCTTTTAAAAGTGGCAAAATGATCAAAAGAATAAAATGTAGAAAAACAAATACTAATAATTTATTTTCTCTAAATCACATGACTAATTGTGTATAAGAGGTATATCCTTCCATTAATGAAAGAAAGAAGGCATTGAATTATCACCTAAAATAAAGTTTAAGAGTTATCTGTGACTTTAAGTTTTCCATGATTTTATCTGTACTGTCTTTTCAGGAATAGAAAGAGCAATAGTGAGCCCCCCAAACAACAAGCAGAAAATATAACAACCTGCTTGTTTTTATCAGTCACTTCTTTCTTTTTAGAAAGGCAACTCTAAGAAAGTACAAATTATTGGCAACTTATCAGAACATATCATGATCTGTCCCAGAATAATGTGTAAAGTAACTATTTACCAAGTTGGTCAGATGATTTCATGAATTGTTAGCTCGTCTAAGCAAAGGCACACAGGAATCCAAATCTGCTGTATTAACACTTCACTTTCCTTTGAGCTGAATACTTAGTATAGAATGGTAATCTCAAAAAGATAAGAAGGAAAGCAGTCGTCCAATCTCCCAGCTCTGCTTGCTGTCTACCTTCATAACCGAGGCAAGTCACTTTATCATTCTCTGACTCTATTTCTCCACCTGGAAAATCTGGAAAGTCTTACCTAGGACTCCTTTCTTTCTATGACTATTGAGACCTTTAGAGGAAATACACTTCACACATTCAAAGATTTATGTCAGTGTTATTTTTTTTGAACTGCTTACCTAAAGAAAGGGGATGGATTAGAGTTGAAAAAGTAATAAGGAGATGCCATTTGAAGTTGAATTGTTGTTGGCAGAAACCAATGTGGCCAAATGTGGTTCTGTTTTGTATTTCTCTTGCCAATTTCAGCTGGTTTTGGGTTGGCCCATTCTGAAAAATAAGGCTTCTTGGAACATGTCCAAGTAAGAAAAGCAAGCAGGTAGTTTGGTGATAATAAATTTCAAAAACTAATTTTTGTGTCCTGTGACTTTGTAACAAAATGTGTTATGAGCTGGTCTGAAACCAGAACATCAAAAACCAAATAGTATACAAAAGGCATAACATTGGGGGGAAAATTTCAAGTCAAAAATCAAAATACAGCTCAGTGATTTCAGAAGCAACATTTCTTGTCAAGAATAACTGCCATTAAAATGTTAATAGGCATAAGTGAAAATGATTTTAGAGGGGATGGAAGCTAAGGGAGGGTCTGTTTTAGGAAACATAGTGAAATTTTATTTTATTCTTAATTTTCCCAGTCAGGTTTGTCAGATCTCAGAAAAAAATTGGGGGGCTCATTCTCTGCTGAGGGTTTATCACTATTGACATACAAAGATTGAAATTTTTAATTCAGAAAACTTCATCAGCAGAGTCTCTCCAGGTTTCTTTGGCCAGTGAATCACACTAAGAGTGTCTTGAGACCATCAGTGGAGACAAGACCAAAAAATTAAGAAAAAAAAAAAAAGGAAACATGCAAGAGCATGCAGGCGTCACTGGAGGCTTCTGATATAACACACGGAGCCCACGCAGCACAAGAATTGGTCTGGCGTCATTGTTCCATGTTCGCTGGATGCTGTAAAGTCTGATTTGCATTAGAAACCTCTGCATTCAATAAACAAAAATAGGGATAATGACCAAAGCGCTATTTGGAACAGAAAACAAACTCAAGCAATGAGTGTTTTCCACTGAATTCATTCAAAATTTTATTAGTTGAGCTCTCACTTAGGTTATTAGGCTCAGCTTGCCTTTAATTTCATTGGCCTCAATTATTCAAAACAAAAGGAGCCTGGTGTATGTGCGTGCGTGTGTGTGTGTGTGTGTGCGCGCGCGCGCACACACACACACACGCACACACGGGGACGCATCACACACAGGCTTTGTACATTCTTCACATTGCAAACCCATCAACAAAAGGAGGAAGAAGATCTGAGAGGAATGAGTGGTTTTTGCGGGTTTAGGGTTGGAGAATTTCTCTACATAAACAAGAAGGTTTGGATTGGAAGTCTGCTAAAAAAAATGTTACAGCTGACCACAGGGTTGTAAATCCAGACTGGAAGGAGAAAAAGAGAAACATTGCAAGCGAGTGAAGTGTGTGTGGCTGCAATGTTTGTGGGTTAGATGAGAAACAAGCGCTGACTGAAACCGAGAAGGGGGGTGGCTGGTGTGATTTGTTTGGTGTGCGGAGCCAATAGAAATCCCAGACTGCGATAATATCCCGGTGCAGCGCCGCGCGGAGTCAGAGCCGAGTCTCGGGCCGGTGCACATCTGCGAGCCGCGGCCCAGCGCGCACCGCGGAGCCGGCTCCCCGCCGCCCCCAGCCCGCGCGCCTCCGCATGCGCGGCCGCGGTGCTCCGGCCGCGGGCCCCCGAAGGCGGCCGAGGGAGAGCCGGCGCACAACCCGCGGTGGACTCTGTAGCTCAGAGGAGAGGGACCCGAGGAGGAGGCTTCCATCACGTCATTGCAGGTACGCAGCTTGTCACGACTAATGTGGCACAGACACGGTTTCTGATTTCTCCCTTCACAAGGCACTGAAAAGTAATTGACATCGTTGGTTCCACTGTGGGTCAGAGTAGAAAGCACTGTCTATCTTGATTCACGCTCGATAATTAAAGCTGTTAACGTGTGTTTGGAGGCCACAGGGTTTATTCACCTATTGAATTCTCCGTGGGTGTAAAGCAGAGACCTTCAAACTCGACCGTCATCTCTTTCTTTAAAATAACATCAGTATCTGCCTGTTGTCACGCTGCCCACTTACAGATCTTGGTGACCTCCGTTATAGTTGTGACCTAATAGCAAGTCAAACACCGTCTGATTGTTAGAAAGCAGGCTTTGAGCATTCCCACCTACCTATCGGGTTAATATCCTCCTCTAAGGAATAGGAACCAGAGCGGACTTGAGCATGGTTTTGATCTTTAAAGCGTATGGCCAAAGTGGACTAAGCTCATGAGTGAAACAGCACTGGATCGCTTCGCTGTGGTTGAAGAAAAAGAAGGGAGAGCGAGATTTCTCAATGTGATGGTCAGTGACTCCTCTTCTGTACCTGATTTATTTTTACATTGTCTTATCAGTTGAAAATGCATTTATTCTGTACCCTCAGGCAGGATGAGTTCCAAGACTTCATGTGTTACTACATTAAAAAGTCATGAATTGGAACTGTGTCATAAATGTGATACTTGTGAGGAAATGCCCATTTTTGGTTTGATTTTATTTGATACTAAAATCGGTAGACATCTGGCCACTTCTTTTCCTGTCTTTATTCATTTTATTTTGAGAAATGAATTTTGTAAAAAAAAAATCTATTTCCTGGGATCTTACCATGTTTGCTTTCAAATTTTGAAGATGGTTATGTAACTTTTTTCTTCCTGTTGATTACTTGTGATTAAATTAACATTGCTTAATGAGTTCAGTCTTTGCCTTGGAAAAGCCAGTGGGGATTGAATGAAGGCTGAGTTAAAAGATTAGTCTTGCTTTGGGCGATCCTCAAATAACTGGGGTATAGCTGCTCTGAATCCCTGGATAAAGAGCTTTTCCTGCAGTGAAGAACATACACAGATAGGGACTCTAGTTCCACAAGAGAATGGCACAACAGCAGGTGCAGGACCAATGGAATATGTTATCTTATTAGCACTCTTCTCAGTGGGTTCTTGGTAGAACATATTCAAACCCTCCGTTGCTAATTCACAATCAATTCCCCATTCTGTCATGCCTGGTTTTTAGGGCACTCCTTATCCAAGATATGTGCCTGCCCAAGGTAGATAAGGAAGATATAAGAAAGGTATTTGTTTTACATATCACAATGGAGAATTTACATTGACCTGTGGGGATTTTTTAAATCAAATTAATCTTTTGTCATTAAGGAAAATGCATGCTTAGCTCTACCATGGAGTCTTGAAAACTGTTCATATTTTTGCCCAATGCCAAGTTTGAATGATTTAATGGGTATTTTTGAAATCATGTCAAAGAATAGACATGGCAAGTGAATATTTAGGAGAGAGCATTTTGATTTTAGAGATGAATATTTTTCTTTTTTTATATCACAAAGGAAACTGATTGTCAAGAATTTACCTATTTAAATAAATACTAATTAATTGACCCAACTGAGTTCTGTTTGCAGCTGAAAGTGTAGTTTTGCATCACTATAAACATTTTTCAATCTATAAATATAATATCTGAAATAAATTGAGACCCATTTCCCTCTTGCCATTCAAACTCTAAAGCGATTTTGGGCATTTCGGTAGTGACAAAGTAATGTGAGGCTGAATATATATATACACAGTTTGTCTGGACTAAGAGACACTGATGGCTTTTCAAAGATAAATGTAAACAATGCTTTGATTACTCATTGTTTTGCACTATCATTCTTCACTGAGAGAAGTAATCAAAAGTTCATTCCCTGTGCATTTTAGTATAGCCAGCTAGAGCTTTAGATATCCGCAAGTTATAAGTTTGGTAAAGTTTAAACAAGGCACATGCCTTTAAATCTCTTTAAAGTAAACACCTCTTCCTTAGTCCTCTTCTTCTAAAGCAAAGGAATGGAATTAAGCTCCCAGTCTGGGCGCCGATTCTTATTGATATGGAGAGGACTGGCCAGCCTAGGTCAAGGACAAACACCTGGAGGCTGCAGAAGCGCAGGTTAGACCAGCCACGTTTGTGCCCCAGCATTGCTACAGCAGTCAGGCCAGGTTGCAAGCATTTTCAGTATCAGGGCCCTTCAAGTATTTAGGAGAAAGTGATGAATTATTGCAACCAAATGTGCCAAGTATTGGGCTTAAAACCAGTCACACAAAGAGCCAGCAAATAATAAGACAAATTGTTTTGAAGGGGAAAGTATACAATTATAAACTTAGCCTCTGGCGCCATGTATGCCTGTGTTTGCCTAGCTGTTTCTCTTCCTACCACAGAGTTCTCTTTTATATAAATTGGACACACTGACCTAATAATGTATAGAATTAATTTTGATCCCAAGTCAGGCTAAAGTATGGTCCTCAAACCCCTAATCTAAATAACAGATATTTCCTACGGCCACCACTTCTAGTTGGGAATATGTCTTTGGCCAGCTCATCCATAGGACCCAGCTCATGTGGAACGCTGATTTGCGGAGCGGAGTCCCAGAGCCACATGGCAGTAAGAGAATGAATAGGGAGAGGCTCAAAGTACCACGGGTGTGAGGGGAGATGTTACAAAGATGGGCATCCTTAAGTATGAATCCAAGAGTCAAAGGAATAATGAGTTTATTTCCTCAAATGCGCTTCCAGTATAAACTTTTAGTGAGATTTCCTGAATATTTTAAATAACTCTCATGTGTACACATGTACCTTGCACACAGGTATGGGATGAAAATGAAGACCTTTGATGTGCTGTTAACACTCCCCTACGCACAGGCCAGGAGAGGGCAGCATGCAAACTGTAAAAAAGTAACGTCTCTTGACTGAGGGGAGACTCCAATCTCCAAAATAGCTAAACCTGTCTCCCTAACTGTATGTACCTTCTTCCCTTTGAAAAGCTGAGTCTAGAGCCTTGCTTGCTAAGGGATACACCATTCAGAAAGATTTGTTTCTACTTTTGCCTCCAGAGTTGGTGCCGCCCAGCAAAATAAGGAAAGCAACCTATTTGAGAGAGAACTCAACTTCTCTTTCTTTGAATTAGCTTCATTCTTTGAAGCTATCCAAGTGGTCTTTATCTTTACTCTGCCAGGAAGTGGGTAGGAGAAAGGGAAGTAGAATACAGAGGGAAAAAAAGAAGAGAGAGAATAGGGTTTCTTGAATTTGTCCTCCAGGGGAAATGTTTATGAACTGCTTTCTCCATACACCTAGCCTTTGTTTTAAGCATGTCTCAAAGGCAGGTTCAGGGCCACAAGAATACATTTTGTACATTGACAGTCAATAGTGTCTCTAGAATCCTAGTGAATTTGGTTTCAAAACAGAAGGGCTAGAATAGCTTTTTTTTTTTTTAACTGGTTTCCAGAGTCTAAGACGTACTAAAAAATAATTATGCATCTCCCTCTTAGAATGTCAGAGATTGGTCAAACCTAATCCCAACTACACCTAGTCCAGCCTTTTAGAAACTCATGGCTAGTAAGCCTCACACTGTTCTTACTTTCACGGATCAGCCATATTCTAGGGACAAATTGTAAATGTGCACAGAAGAGAGAAATAATCACTCTTAAAGTGGGCAACCTGTAGCTGGCAGTGATAATTCCTGCATGCTTCATCCTAATTTAGCTAGATTGGTGATTTTAGTTTCAGGAACACCCTTGTAACCTTGCCATCTTTGGTTCAAATGCCACACAACTTGCTGCTGAATATGAAGGCTGTAGAATGCAGCTCAGAGGGGGGTTTAAAACAAAGTCTGGGAGGCCCAGAAAAAAGCAGTCTTGGTGAAAAGCTGAGGTTTCTCCTGAGAGAAAAGGAGGCAGAAGGGACACTGGGCTGGGCATGGGCACACGAGGTGATGGAGAAGCCAGGAAAGGGTAGTGCTGAGCCTCCTGGAGAGTGACTCCTGGGACCCTCAGGGTCTGCCCAGCAGGGCTCAGCCTTGGAAGCGCTTCTCTCTGGTGCCACTGTACTCTGCTAGGAGGTGTGGTGTCCTTGAATCAAAGCAAAAGGTTTTTTTCAAGGACGAAGTAAAGATTTCTCCGTGTCTGGGAAGAAAGGGAGGTCACTGTGTGTCTCCCCCATTCTCAGCCAGATTAGCCTCTGCAGCACTCCCATGTACTGTCTGGAATGACGCAGTTGCCCCAGGGCTTCTGTGGATGCTTGGGTGAAGGGGGTACATTCGTCCAGGGTCACTGTAGAACCAGGCACAATCGTGGGGTGCCAGCAACAAGGGAGGGAGAGGTAAATCCTAGGAGCTGAGAAGCTCCACTGCTGTTTCTCAGTTTTTGATATAGTCCTTCCGAGCTCCTTGCAGTCAGAGAAACTCTGGGTTCCATCTCTTTTTTCTAGATTACTTTGCAATAAAGGAATCCCACGGCTGAAGGGGAAATCTCTTTGAAGGCCCTTCCCTGTTTGAGAGGCAAAGCAGGGTAAGTAAGATCACAGAATGCTGGCAGATACAGTAACCCTCAGGAGAAGACATACCCAATAGTTAGTTCTTAGTTACACTAAGAAAACCCTTCTGAATTGTGAACGCAAGGGAACTAGAGACAAAGGAACTACATGACTGAAGGAAAAAACTCTCCCAAAAGAGAGTTTTTGAAGGATATGACGCCACGAGCACAAATATTCACAAACATGACTTTCATGTTATGGATTAGTAGTCGTTCCAAACTAAAATTCTCCACTCCTATAATTTATTTAAACAGCGAGAGAGGGGAAAAATAGAACACACTGAGCAAGGGAACACTTGACTAGCTCATGTGAAATGCTAAGCTGAGTTGACTTTGTCTAGTACAAATACCATGTGCATTAAAAATTACTCTGTTTTTACAGCTGCAACTCTAAAAGCTGGAGGAAGCTAATCTTA